CTCCCTCTCCCTCTCCCCCTCTCTCTCTCTCTCCGTCATCCATCGCATCAGAATTGCAAACAGCATTATAAAGTTGCCGCCTTAAATGCAAACTTATGAACGTTTTCCACGCGAGCGATGGAAAACTATGAGAAAGTCGGGTCGGAGCTGCAGGAGCGACGTACGCATATCGATTGGAAGCAGCTAGCTTGCTAGTGAGCCACACCACGTCACGCCCTTCAGCAGGGATCGAACAAACGTGCATCAAAAAGCCGTCCGCAAAACAGTCGCGGTGCGCACACTGGAAGCAAATTGCACAGGCCGATGGCCAACTAGATGTCGTATTGATAGCCGCGGAGGTGGCCTTTCAGGCGCCAGATTACAGAGATTATCATTGATTTAATTTGCAGTGCACTTCGTTTTCATTTCAAGTCTCAAATTAAAGCTGGAAAAATCTGCCAGGTTAATGAAACACTTCGTCAGTTCTGCGCCACACCAAGCGGTACAGTCTAACAAAACACAACAGGGTTCTCCGGGTTCTCCTCCAGTAATGAACCATAAAGAAAAATTTACTAAGAGGTCAAAAAGAGCAGGAATTTTACATCTCGTTTGCGGCAATTAATTTCATCCAAGGTATGCCAATGAGCAGAAAGCTACTGACATTTTTACGAAGACAGCAAGACGAAACTAAACACATCATACAAGCGGGGCGCAGCAGAGAGGAGCCAGCGAGCAGCAGCTCACTCACCCCCCGTGTCTCCGACAACAACAGGAGGGCTATCACGGAGCAGGTCGCTTCTGCTCGGTTCTGCTCCCTCCCGGTCGGGTTGCGAACCACTCCGCTTGGGTTGCGAACGCTCCCGGTTGCTCCGGCCGGGCTCGGTTTGCTTCCGCTCGGGCTCGCCTCTCTCCATAAGAATAGCATGGGAGGGGGGCGAGCCGAGCGGAAGCAAACCGAGCCCGGCCGGAGCAACCGGGAGCGTTCGCAACCCAAGCGGAGTGGTTCGCAACCCGACCGGGTGGGAGCAGAACCGAGCAGAAGCGACCTGCTCCGTGATAGCCCTCCAGAGCACTGCTTCAGCCATGCGCTCGTCACACACATGTCAGGCTCTGCTGGAAATGCCACATCGCCCCCCCGCACATGTCGGGCCGGGGCGGGGTGAGCTGGCTGAGCTGGGCCGGGCGGGGGCGAGCCAGGCAGGCCGGCCGGACCTCGAGCCGGACTGTGCCGACAGTGTCGTCTGCTGCTGACGAGACGGCCGGTCGGGGTCGGTCGGCCCCAACCACGATTATGAGTAGAGTACTCGCGAATCGATCGCCCGATGCGGCCAGGCCATGACCGGCCAGGGTACACGCTGGCCAGTCGGCCCTAGGGCACGGGCGCTGCCTGGCCTGTGGCGAGGCGGGGCGGGGCGGGGCG